AAAAAAAAAAAAAAAAAACTATACACATGAGAGGTCTAATAGGGACCTCCACTCAAAATTGGGGTATCTTAGGAGGCAGAGGCGGGAGCATCACTTGAAGCCAGGAGTTTGAGACCTGCCTGGGTGATACAGTGAGACGCCCATCTCTAAAAGAGTAGTTTAAAACAATTAGCCAGCCATGGTGGTGCGCGCCTGTAGTCTCAGCTACTCGGACGGCTGAGGTGGGAGGATCACTTGAGCCCAGGAGGAGTTTGAGGCTTCAGTGAGTTCTGATTCCACCACTGGGGTATCAAAGAGCAACATTCTCAGTACAAGGTAAAGAAGAAATAAATCTGCCACGCAGTAAGGGGCAGTACAAAAGCTTGCATGCATCTGGTCCTGACGGAAAGAAAAAAAAAAAAGTTCAGTCTTACAGGGCTGCTGTCTGAATTCACACCACTAGGGAGGAGGCAGGAAAGAACCTCAAGCAGAGAATTTAACTTTCAGTGGTCTCAGATTAGAAATGTACTCAAGTGATGGCAGAGGCAAAAGTAAATCCCCGCTGGAAGAATCTGGGGCAAGAGCCATTCATTCTGAAAGGCATCCTGATTTTAGATACATGAAAATGAAAAGATGTACACGCAGAATCACTGAAATTCAGATCGTTGTATTTCCTTCCTATCACTACTCCAGATGCTTCTTACCATCTGCCTTCTCCTGAACCCTCCCCTGCCTTGCCTATTTCTGCAGACGTAGCACTGTGCCTGGCCCAGAACAGGTGCTCTCTCAGTATTTGCTGGAGAAGAGTTAGGTGGTAGGAGGTGGGGAAGGAGAAATGGAGAATTCTCCCGTAGCTACAGTTTCAGTTTTGCAAGATGAAAACATTCTAGAGTGTGAACGCTGCTGAAGAGCACACTTAAAAGTGGCTGAGATGGTGAAATCTTATTTCAACAATTAAAAAAATGGTAGCATGATAGGGTAATCACATACTCATTCAATAAACCTGCCACCAAATCAATTACCTGCATGTGTCTCAGGTGCTCTGCCCTGTGTTGGGGTAAAACAGAATAGTGAGGCAGGCTAAGTGAGGCAGTAGACCCATGTCACGCCCACAATCGAGGAAACTGCCACAGCTGCCTATTATCAGGCTCATTTTAAGGTACTCACAGTTTAGCAGAGAAACATCAACCAGTAATTGCAATACAAGCCGTGATGTGGCGCTGCACACGTGTTAACTAACAATAACGAAGATACCCTGCGAATGATTTTGGCCAAATCACCATTCCAGCCAAAACAAAAAACTAAGAGTCACCTGTTTAAAATAGCGAACGCAAAAGAAACCCATTTGGTGAAACCACCTTCAAAAACTTCAGTTTCCAGCCCATACCTGTGCTTTGCTTCCTGTTGTGCCGCATCGCCAGGATCCTGGGGAAAAAATAAATAAATTTAATAGAGAAATTTCACAGGGGGTGGGGGAAGGAACGGTTCTGTTGTTTCCGATACACAACAGTCTCTTGCAGTGGTAGAAACTCCCCAAATAATTAATAAACTGGGCCTCACAGAAATCAATGAACTAGTTCCCACTTACAATGTTTTGATGAGCGTCTAAAATCACCGTCTCACAGAACGCTTTAGGGTACAGAGCACCCCGGGGAGGGGAATTCCCTGACCTGCGAAACCGTGTTTTACGTGCAGAAATAATTTCTGGAAAATAAAACGGGCCTCAATATTAGGGCCGCCGATAATTCAAAGACCAAGCCCTCGGTCCCTAAAGTCCCCGTCCCTTTCTTTATCAGAAACGCCTCACCGGGCGGCCCCTCCCGGCCTGTCATCCCGGCGGGACGAGCGCTCCTCAGACCCCGCCGCGCTCTCAGCACCGAGAACACGGCGACCCTCAACGCCTGTCAGCTAAACTTGGGTCAGAACAACTGAATTCGGCCCGGCTGCTGCTGGCTCCAAAAGCAGAGACCGTGCTTGGATTCAGGCCGGGCAGGACGAGCCGGCTCCGGGCCGGGAAACCCCACACCTTCACGCCCGTGCAGATCCCGCACGTGGCGGCCCCCGCTGCCGGACTCCCAGGCTCCTCGCGACCGGGAAAGCGGCGAGGCCACCTCGGAGCCGGCCACGAGGCCGCCGGGGCAGCGTCGGGGACCCAGGTCCCTGGGGAGGCGCCCAGAGCCACCGCCCCGGAGCCGCGCCCTCCACCCCGGGCGAGGGCAGCGCCCCGCGGGGGCCGGGCCTGGCGGCGGCCGGCCACACTCACCCCGTGCTTGGCCTGCAGCTCCGCCAGCCTCTGCCTCCTCAGAGCCTCCAGCTCCTCTTCCGCCATGGCGCGGCGTCCGCGGTGGAGCAGCCGCGGTCACTCAGCAGACCCTCGGCGCGAGCGCGGCTCTGACCACTGCGCAGGCGCCCGCGGGCCCCAGGCGTCACCAATCCAGCGCGGAGCAACGCTCCGTGCCGCCGCCAGGGCGCCGCGAGAGGCCCGATTCCCAGATCTCAGGCGGCCGAGCGCGGGCGCGCGGGAGAGGCGGGGCCTCCGGGATACACCTCCCACCCGTGATCTGCGTCTCTGCGTGGGGGGACGCGGGCTGCGCTGGGGCGGGGCTGCGCTTTGGAAAGGTTAATAGCCGAAAAATGTGGCATCAAGCATAATAATTATGGGTACAATGTGCTGGCGGCCTAGAGGGCTAGGCGCTTATTATCTCTATTTATAGATGAGTAACCAGGGGCACAGGAAGGCTGAGTGGGGTGATGGAAACGTCCTAACGCTGGATCGTGGCGGTGGCTGCGTGGCTCCTCGGTGCACACAGAGGTCGGCCGGTGGCTCCCGTGGTCCTGACGATTCGGGAGGCGGCAGGGTCATTTGAGGCCAGAAGTTTGAGACCAGCCTGGGCAATATGGCAAGAGCCTCTCTCTACTAAAAATTTAAAAAACTAGCTGGACGTGGTGGTGTGCACCTGTAGTCCCAGCTACTCAGGAGGCTGTGTTAGGAGATCGCTGGAGCCCGGTAGTTCGAGGCTGCAATAAGCCGTGATCGCTTCACTGCACTTCCGCCTGGGAGACAGAGCCAGACCCTGTCCCTAAAATAAAAAATAAAAAATGTGCACAGACCCTCGCCGTCTGCCTCCTCCACACACAAAAGGGCTTTTCCTGGGAGGATGCTGCAGTGGGCAGCTGTGGCTGGTGTAAACTCTTTGGTGGAATAAAGCCCTTCTGCCTTTGGCTTGTGGGGGTTGGGGACAGAGAGGATATTCAGTTACCTAAACGTGTGACTCATACAGATTCTGTTTGTGTGTGTGTTATTTTATTTTTTACATTAAAAAATACAGATGGGATCTCCTTGTGTTGCCCAGGCTGGCCTCAAACTCCTGAGCTCAAGCAATCATTTTGCCTCGGCCTCCCTAAGGGCTAGTATACAGGCATGAGCCACCACACCTGGCTTGTGTGCTTTGCGACAAAATATACATAACACAAAATTTACCATTTTCACCATTTTCAGATGTATGAAATACATTGAAATTACTGTGCAGTTGTCACTATCATCAGTCTTGGCTCACTGCAACCTCCACCTCCCGGCTTCAAGCGATTCTCCTTCCTCAGTCTCACAAGTAGCTGGGACTACAGACGTGCACCACAAGTCCCGGCTAATTTTGTATTTTTTAGTAGAGATGGGGTTTCACCATGTTGGTCAAGCTTGTCTCGAACTTCTGACCTAAAATGATCCGCCTGCCTCGGCCTCCCAAAGTGCTGGGATTACAGGCGTGGACCACTGTGCCCACCATCAATCTCTATAACTTTTTCATCATCCTGAATTGGAACTCTATCCAGTAAAGATTTATGTTGGTTCAAGGGGCCTCCCATGGGAATGGGTGGAGGTGGGAGGGGCCTGAGCGTAATAATCAGTCTCCACCTATCCTCATTCTAGTTTCTACGAATTTGCCTATTCTAGGTACCTCGTATATGTGGAATCATACACTATTTGTCCTTTTGCGACTGGCTTATTTCACCTAGCATATGTCTTCAGGGTTCATCCGTGTTGTAGCATGTGTCAGAATTTCCTTCCCTCTTAAGGCTGAATACATTTCATTGTGTGGATATACCTAGCACATTTTGTTTATCCATTCATGTCAATGGACACTTGGGTTGCCTCCACCTTTTGGCTATTATTAATAATGCAGCTATAAACATGGGTGTACAAATATCTGTTCAGGTCTGGGCTTTCACTTGGATAGATACCCATAAGACAAATTGTTGGATCATGTGGTATTTCTATGCTGAGAAACGGCCATACCATTATTATTTTTTTTTTATGATAGAGATGGGGTTTCACCATGTTGGCCAGGCTGGTCTCAAACTCCTGACCTCAGGTGATCTGCCTGCCTTGGCCTCCCAAAGTGCTGGGATTACAGGCATAAGCCACTGCACCTGGCCTTGTTCTTCTCTTTCAAAGTTGTTTTGGCTGTTCAGGGTCCCGTGAGATTCTGTATGATTTGCAGGATAGGATTTTTAGTTTCTGCAAAAAATGTCTTTTAGATTTTGGTAGGGATGGAAGTGAATCTGTAAATTGCTTTGAGTGGGATTGGCATCTTAACAGCATTAAGTTTTCTAATCCACGAGGAGGGCATGTCTTTCCATTTATTTATGTCTTCTTTAATTTTAGCAATAATTTGGAATTTTCATTGTACAAATCTTTCACCTCCTTGGTTAAGTCCTAAGTATTTTATTATTTTTGATGCCATTATAAATGAAGTTTTTTTATTTTTAGATTGTGCATGTTAGTGTATAAAATGCAATTTGTGTGTTGACTTTATACCTTACTTTGCTAAATTTTGTTTACTAGTGCTAACAATTTTTTGGTGGAGTCTTTAGTTTTCTACATATAAAATCATATCCTCTCTGAACAGAGATCATTTTACTTCTTCTTTTCCAATTTGGATCTTTTTTATTTCTTCTTCCCTAATTACTCTGGTGAGGATTTTCATTACTATGTTGCATAGAAGTGGTGAAAGCAGGCATCCTTGTCTTGTTCCTGATTTTAGAGGAAAAACTCAGTCTTTTACTATTGAGTATGATATTCCCTGAGGCTTTTTCATATATGGATTTTATTATGTTGAGGTACTTTCCTTCTGTTTCTAATTTTTTAGTGTTTTTATCATGAAAGCATGTTGAATTTCATCACATGCTTTTTCTGTATCAGTTGAGATAATTATGTAGTTTTCCCCTTCATTCTGTTAATGTTTTATATTACATTGATCGCTTGATTTTCTCTTTCTTTTCTTTTTTTTTTTTTTTTTTTTTTTTTTTT